GCTTAGCCAAAAAAAACAAGGGCAGGGATTCTCTCCACATCTGATTGTGTTTGGATAAAACATTAGAATAATATAAAAGCGGGAGCTGTTGCTAGAGCCCAACTCCAGGGTTAGAAGGAACTGCTTGCCATTCATCTGAAGGATGAAGGCTGCAATAAAAACCCAGCAAATTAATAATACATTGGCAACACCTGCTTGACTCCCTCTCCTAGTGAACCAGACCCTTATTCCACTCCTATCACTCCAGGCTCCTTAAGACTCAAGGATGTTTGGTCCCTTTGGGGGACACGCTGTCAGTCTAGTCGTGTTTGACGATAAGGCGGCACTTGAGTGTTATACTTTTATAGACACCTTGTTTAGGAAGTGAGGTTTGCCTGGTGACGGCTTTCCCAGCGGGCTAAACAGGTTTAAATGACATCATAAAACGATTTTTACTTTCGTTATGAAGTCATTTCAAGCATGTTTTGCCCACTGGTTAAGAGTAGTTTTATTGATAATTAGTTGTAATCCCATTCTGCTCTGCCTCTCCTTCCTTAGGTAGCTAGCAGTAAAAATGGCCAAATCCATGTTATTTGTTTAGATTCATGTTTATTCATGGTTACTAGCTGGTAGTTTGTCAGTGCACATTTTCATATGCATATCTCTCTATCAAACACACACACACACACACACGCGCACACACACACACACACACACACACACACAGAGGCTGATATTGTACTAAGGATTGCGTGGGATTTGCTGTTTGGCAGACTGACTCTATCTGCACCCTGTCACTCTTAAGGGTCCTCACACTAAAAACTCCTGACTCCTGTTCACACAACCCTGTCTCCATGGTTACCTGCCAGGGTGCTACGTGGCATCTACTGTTGTTGTACCTTTTCCCGATGAGCAGCAATGACGCAGAAAATGTTCTGCGTGCCATAATAACATGCACAGAAATCATGATTCATTCACCCGTATGGGTTTTAGTCAAAGCAGATGTCCTTGTGACTTCTGCTATTACTAATAACACACATATACATGTGTATCCACATGAATTTCAATTATGAGGCTGGGGAACTGACTTTGTATTTATCTTTTTTTTTTTTACTTATTATATTTTTTACGAATTGCATAAGTGTGTAATCAGAACAGTCTAGTTCTCTCTGTGTCAGAATAAGAGGGCACACCTCAGCTGAAAGGAGAAATGACTGTGTTTATCTGTGTACTTACCTTCATCATATCAGTAGCTAGATTGGCTTGCCCTTCAACTCCCCACATTGTCTAGAATCCAGCTGTCTTGTATCTTGTGTACATGGTGCTTGCTCAGGTCTTAAAATGTGAAGAAGTTACGGACAAATAGCAATTTTTAAGATATAACAAAATATGGAATTGTACACTACAGTCTGAAAAGAGTCTGGACTTTTTGAACTAAATGGATACAAGATAGATACATATTAAAATAGGCTATGCCAAGCAAGGTGGGCGTAAAACATTTCAATTCTTGAAGAAAATAAATTGGCATTCGATCAGCACTCGCATGAACAATGAATCAGTCATCTCCTCACAATAATTGCTGCAAACGAGAAAGGTCGAGGTCTTGACAATCCTGGGAAAAGTCTGGATTTTTATTATCTGAGATGGGCAAGCTCACTTTGTAATATCTCAACACATTGTTTAGGCTTAGTAAGTTACGATATATTTTATGATATTTTTCCACTGTTGGGCCTCAGTCTACAATTATTTTTTTCACCTTTCCCAGGTTTGAGCAGAGTACACTTAGCTCTATCCACCTACCCTTTACGCTGTCAAATGGATCGATCTGTGTTATTTTCCTCTTGGCCTATGGGAGAGTAAAACACTCATAAATAACACATTCTACTAGCGTTAGCGCAATAACATGTTCGCTGTTTCCATAGACTTCCAGTCATTGAGCCAACAACCATCCATTTAAAAGCACGTCTCGGCAGAAATATACAGTGCCTTCAGAAAGTATATCCCTTGACTTATTCCACATTTGTTGTGTTACAACCTGAATTCAATATGGATTCAATAGATTTTTTTATCGCACCCATCTACACACAAAAATGACAAAGTGAAAACATGTTTCTAGAAATGTTTGCAAATGTATTGAAAATGAAATACAGAAATATCTCATTTACATATTGAGCTCAGGTGCATCTAATTTCCTTTTATCATCCTTGAGATCTCACTACAACTTGATTGGGGTCCACCTGTGGTCAATACATTTGTTTGGACATGATTTAAAAAATGACACACCTGTCTATATATGGGCCCATAGTTGACAGTGCATGTCAGAGCAGAAATTATACCATGAAGTCCAAGGAACTGTCCATAGATCTTCGAGGGAATCGTCTTGGATATGTCTGTATCAGCTTTGCACATCTGGATTTGTGGATTTTCTGCCGTTCTTCCTTGCAGATTTTCTCAAGCTCTGTTAAGTTAGATGGGTAGAGGCAGTGAACAACAATCTTCACGTAAGCTCTAGGCAGAATCTGGGTAGTATTTTTTCCATTTCCCAATGATGGAGACCACTGTGCTCTTGGAACACTCTAGAAATGTTTTATGTATGATATACAGTGGGGGAAAAAAGTATTTAGTCAGCCACCAATTGTGCAAGTTCTCCCACTTAAAAAGATGAGAGAGGCCTGTAATTTTCATCATAGGTACACGTCAACTATGACAGACGAATTGAGGATAAAAAATCCAGAAAATCACATTGTAGGATTTTTAATGAATTTATTTGCAAATTATGGTGGAAAATAAGTATTTGGTCAATAACAAAAGTTTCTCAATACTTTGTTATATACACTTTGTTGGCAATGACACAGGTCAAACGTTTTCTGTAACTCTTCACAAGGTTTTCACACACTGTTGCTGGTATTTTGTCCCATTCCTCCATGCAGATCTCCTCTAGAGCAGTGATGTTTTGGGGCTGTCGCTGGGCAACACGGACTTTCAACTCCCTCCAAAGATTTTCTATGGGGTTGAGATCTGGAGACTGGCTAGGCCACTCCAGGACCTTGAAATGCTTCTTACGAAGCCACTCCTTCGTTGCCCGGGCGGTGTGTTTGGGATCATTGTCATGCTGAAAGACCCAGCCACGTTTCATCTTCAATGCCCTTGCTGATGGAAGGAGGTTTTCACTCAAAATCTCACGATACATGGCCCCATTAATTCTTTCCTTTACACGGATCAGTCATCCTGGTCCCTTTGCAGAAAAACAGCCCCAAAGTATGATGTTTCCACCCCCATGCTTCACAGTAGATATGGTGTTCTTTGGATGCAACTCAGCATTCTTTGTCCTCCAAACACGACGAGTTGAGTTTTTACCAAAAAGTTATATTTTGGTTTCATCTGACCATATGACATTCTCCCAATCCTCTTCTGGATCATCCAAATGCACTCTAGCAAACTTCAGACGGGCCTGGACATGTACTGGCTTAAGCAGGGGGACACGTCTGGCACTGCAGGATTTGACTCCCTGGCGGCGTAGTGTGTTACTGATGGTAGGCTATGTTACTTTGGTCCCAGCTCTCTGCAGGTCATTCACTAGGTCCCCCCGTGTGGTTCTGGGATTTTTGCTCACCGTTCTTGTGATCATTTTGACCCCACGGGGTGAGATCTTGCGTGGAGCCCCAGATCGAGGGAGATTATCAGTGGTCTTGTATGTCTTCCATTTCCTAATAATTGCTCCCACAGTTGATTTCTTCAAACCAAGCTGCTTACCTATTGCAGATTCAGTCTTCCCAGCCTGGTACAGGTCTACAATTTTGTTTCTGGTGTCCTTTGACAGCTCTTTGGTCTTGGCCATAGTGGAGTTTGGAGTGTGACTGTTTGAGGTTGTGGACAGGTGTCTTTTATACTGATAACAAGTTCAAACAGGTGCCATTAATACAGGTAACGAGTGGAGGACAGAGGAGCCTCTTAAAGAAGAAGTTACAGGTCTGTGAGAGCCAGAAATCTTGCTTGTTTGTAGGTGACCAAATACTTATTTTCCACCATAATTTGCAAATAAATTCATTAAAAATCCTACAATGTGATTTTCTGGATTTTTTATCCTCAATTCGTCTGTCATAGTTGACGTGTACCTATGATGAAAATTACAGGCCTCTCTCATCTTTTTAAGTGGGAGAACTTGCACAATTGGTGGCTGACTAAATACTTTTTTTCCCCACTGTACGCCTCATCACAATTCTATCTGAAATCTACGGACAGTTCATTGGACTTCATGGTATAGTTTCTGCTCTGACTTGCACTGTCAACTGTGGGACCTTATATAGACAGGTGTGTTTCTTTCTAAATCATGTCCAAACAATTGAATTGGCCACAGGTGGACTCCAATCAAGTTGTAGTGACAAAGGAAATTGGATGCACCTGAGCTCAATTTGGAGTGTCATAGCAAAGGGGTGTGAATACTTATGTAAATTAGATATATCTGTATTTCATTTTCACATTTCTGAAAACATGTTTTCATCTTGTTATTATGGGGTATTGTGTGTAGATGGGCGATAAAAAAAAATATATTTAATCCATTTTGAATTCAGGCTGTAACACAACAAAATGTGGAATAAGTCAAGGGGTATGAATACTCTCTGAAGGCACTGTATATATTATATCATATTTTTTGCAGCATTGGCAACAAGCTTTATTTTAATTTTTATTATTTATGAATATAGCGGAAATACTGCTATGTTGTAATGAAAAGTGTTGATTTTTTTTATAAGGGCAACTGCAGATTCTTCCTTATTTTTAAAGTGTTGTGTTAGCAGTAGAAACTGGAGAAGAGCTAAAAAAAATAATTACTGACAAAGCATGTTACATCAACAAAAGAAGACTCAAGAGAAAGTAAAACTAACTACATCTGAAAACTGGACCTGGGGCTAGTAACAGGCTCTTGGTTATTCAGATGGAGTGGCCAGCCCTTGGACACTCGCGTTCCTTGAACAATGTTCTCAACAGGCTAACCACTTCATCTCATCTCTTTTCTCCTCAGGGGGACGGTGAAGGCGCGCTTCGTGTACGTCTTCGTCCTGGGCATCCTCTTCACAGGCTCCAAGGACCTGCTGAGGTCCCAGGTCATCACAGCTGACGCCCGGCTGAAGAGCAGGGGATTGTGGGAAATCTACAGGTTGGTACCCTACCCGGCAAGTAGCCTAGAGAATAGCAAGCAATTGGTAGGTGGCAATTTAGAATCCTGTTAGAAATGTTCGTCTGACATTCGTGTACATTGTTTTATTCAAACTTTATTGAACCATTCAAGTCCGTTTAGAATAAATAATTGTTCTTATTTACTCATATTACATAGTTATTGGACAATAAAGTAATCTTCTTACAGTGGTGTGGTTCTGTTGGTGGCCCTGTTGTTCCGGGCACACAACCTGCCGGTGCTATGCTGCTGCCTGCTGGTCCAGACCCTGATGGCCCAGTTCATCTGGAAGAAGCTCCACTACGACGCTGCCCAGACCACCATAATGCACTACTGGTTCGGACAAGCCTTCTTCTACTTCCAGGTAAGGGGCGGTTAGATTATATAGTATTCATTGTGGAGAATGTTACTTGTAACCTGGCTATGCCTGGCTATGACTTTTTCTTAAGAGGAAGAAAAAGTTAGTAGCCTTGGCTTGTGAGAGCCTTAACGGCTCATACAGGGTTTTTCACTAGCACTGGCTGTCGGCTATACAACCGATTACAGACTAATTTTCAGCAGGGTACTTTTTCCTCTTAAATTAACTAGGCTACTTTTCAATTCGCTAGTCAGAAAAAAGTCTGCCGAAGGCCGGTCCCGCTAGAATGAACGATATGCATCTTCTAGCGATCTAGTGATAGGAAAGGTGCCTGTCAGTGACAAAGTGAGCGATTACAGGGAGACACTGCTGGTTTGACAGTCTGCTGTCTGTCCCGCCTCTCTGTACCTGGGTGTGTGTTGTGTGAGCTGTGGTTGCAGTCAAATTTCTTTACACAGAGGGAGAGAGTATGAATTTGTACGTCCCATGTAATGTGGTAATAAGGAGTCGAAATCCACTTAGCCTATTGTTTCCTGGCACATTCATTTAGATTCTTTCTATGGCCTGCTGGCCCGGGGCCAATAGAAAATGTGTCGGTCGGGCTAGTGGATCTCCTCTGTCGGGCCAGTAACTTTTCAGCACATTTTTGCATTCCAATTCAACATTTATCTGCTCTGTCACAGTCTACCATTGAAAACCATTGAAGACTACACAGGTAAATGCCATGCTATTTGTATTTCAGCAATATGATTGGCCGTTCATTCATGCACAACCACGCTCCTGCGAGTCATAACTTCTCGAGCACTTGAGCAGTACATGAGTTGATGCCTTCACACAGCACACGCGAGCTGTCCAGAGTTAAAAGAAGCACCCATCAATCTACTCGCTGAGCTTATTTATTTTAGGCAAAGTGAGTCACAAAAGTAAATCTTCAATAGTGAACACACTAGCAATATGCTGGCTACTGTTGATAGAAAGCTGCTTTAGCCATCTAGTGGTGGAGAGTCGACTCCAAAATAATGACTCCTTGCCTGTCGACTCCCAAGATTCTGTATTTTTGTAACGGAGGAGACTGAGTGGTTGCCGTAGGCTACTTCCGAGAACATGAACTCTTGCATCTTTCACAGCAACGAAAGAGCGATGTAGTGAGGGAGAGAGGGTGGAGGGGCACAGCTAGGCATAGGTAGGCAGTTCGGCCACCAGGCAGACAGTCAGAACCGTGCATCGGTAATCAAAAGCTGTATCTTGCAATGTCTCGCAAGTTCGCTAAAGTAGGGGCTATCAATGAGTAGGCTATTCTACATGCGATAGACCAAAGACTGAACACACACTCAAATCTTTCATAGCGAATAGAAAGAGCAGGTGAGGCAGTGACGGCCAATAGGCCACTGGCGTAGCGGAAACCCTGGCAGCCCCGCAAGGAGGGGGGACCCACGAACTCTGGGGGCCCATGCGCCCATCATCTCACACCTATGTCAAATACATTTTGACAGTAACACTCCTTTTAAAATTTCCACATGTAGCAAGCAAAGTGTTTGTGTTGTCCATTCTACATGGGTAGTAGGTGAGTCAGACAGACAGTATAGTTGTCATGCATCTAATTAGCCTATTTCTCAGCGACGCCAGCGGCAGCCTACCTCAGCCTCCTAATTTGTTATCAAGTTAAAAAAAGTTATCTAAATCAGGTCAGACTCGGAGGGAGAGTGAGTGCGTTGTTCAACATGGATAAACAAAAGGCAAGGCCAAGTGAAAAATGCAGCAAAAAAGCTTTATCTGATCAAGATCATGCCAAATTACCGAAGATAACCACATCAGCTAGCTATTCTCCCAGTCTCGACAGAGACCTTATTGCCCGGGCACGGTAATGACAGTGGCCTTGCTCCTCCTTCTTCCTCTTCTCAACAATAGTGACAGTTCCTCTAGTGAGAGTGCCGGCCCTCCTCCTCCTCCTCTCCCAGAAAACCCAGCTGACTAATGCTCTTGTGGCTGAATGGAAGAAAGTCCCCGCAGCATTGTTCCAACATCTAGTGTAAAACCTTCTCAGAAGAGTGGGGGCTGTTATAGCAGCAAAAGGGGACCAACTCCATATTAATGCCCATGATTTTGGATTGAGATGTTCGACGAGCAGGTGTCCACATACTTTTGGTCATGTAGTGTAGCTATAAATAGGCTAGCAGGCACAAACTTTCTATCCAAGCTGCGAGAGAGTGCAAAGATGGCTAAGGTAGGCTATAGGTCTACAGGACAGAATATATTCAAAACAATTATATTGGTTACTGATTAGTATGCTTTTGCACCGAAAATGCATTTTATAATCTACAATTTTTGATTTTCCCACTTTAATTACTGAACAAGAAAATACACTGAACAAAAATATGAACGCAACATGTAAAGTGTTGGTCCCATGTTTCATGAGCTGAAATAAAAGGTTATTCCTTTTCATGGTTTTGAATAAGAGTACTTTTTGAACTCTACAGATATTTTCTCTCCCACGCACTGGCCGCCTTTCATTCTAGCCTGAGCGCAAACCCTCATATTGGCTTTGTACTGAAATAAAATATCCCAGAAATGTTCCATAAGCACAAAAAGCTTAATTCTCTCAAATTATGTGTGCAAATTTGTTTACATCCCTGTTGGTGAGCATTTCTCCTTTGCCAAGATAATACATCCACCTGACAGGTGTGGCATGTAAGTAAGCTGATTAAACAGCATGATCATTACACAGGTGCACCTTTTGCTGGGGACAATGAAAGGCCACTCTAAAATGTCCAGTTTTGTCTCACAACACAATACCACAGATGTCTCAAGTTTTGAGGGAGCATACAAGTGGCATGCTGACGGCAGGAATGTCCACCAGAGCTGTTGACAGAGAATTGAATGTTCATTTCTCTACCATAAGCCGTAGTTTTAGAGAATTTGGCAGTACATCCAACCAGCCTCACAACTGCAGACCACGTGTAACCATGCCAGCCAAGGACATCCAAATCCGGCTTCTTCACCTACGGGATCGTCTGAGACCAGCCACCCGGACAGCTGATGAAACTGAGTTTGCACAACCGAAGAATTTCTGCACAAACTGTCAAAAACCGTCTCAGGGAAGCTCATTTGCATGCTCGTCGTCCTCCCCAGAGTCTTGACCTGACTGCTGTTAACCGACTTCAGTGGGTAAATGCTCACCTTCTATGGCCACTGGCAAGCTGGAGAAGTGTGCTCTTCACGGATGAATCCCGGTTTCAACTCTACCGGGCAGATGGCAGCCAGTATGCCATCATGTGGGCGAGCGGTTTGGTGATGTCAACGTTGTGAACAGAGTGCCCCATGGTGGCCGTGGGGTTATGGTATAGGCAGGCATAAGCTATTGACAACAAAAACAATTGCCTTTTATCGATGGCAATTTGAATGCACAGAGATACCGTGATGAGATCTTGAGGCCCATTGTCATGCTATTCATCCGCTGCCATCACCTCATGTTTCAGCATGATAATGCCTTGCCCTATGTCGTAAGGATCTGTACACAAATCATGGAAGCTGAAAATGTCCCAGTTCTTCCATGGACTGCATACTCACCAGATTTGTCACCCATTGAGCATGTTTGGGATGCTCTGGATCGACAGCGTGTTCCAGTTCCCGCCAATATTCAGCAACTTCTCACAGCCATTGAAGAGGAGTGGGACAACATTCCACAGGCCACAATCAACAGCCTGATCAACTCTATGTGAAGGAGATGTGTTGCGCTGCATGAGGCAAATGGTGGCCACACCAGATACTGACTGGTTTTCTGATCCACGAATCTGTGACCAACAGATGCACATCTTTATTCCCAGTCATGTGAAATCCATAGATTAGGGCCTAATGAATTTATGTCAATTAACTGATTTCCTTATATGAACTGTAACTTAGTAAAATCTTTGAAATGGTTACGTTGCGTTTATATTTTTGTTCAGTGTACATTATTGCCGCCAGCCAGCATTTTAAATACAGTAGCAACATTGCGACACAGTAGGCCTTTAGCGTCGTGAAACATAAATGTTAGGCTTAACATGAGAAAATGACGACCAAATAAAAATAAACATGTATCCATTAAAGCAAAGCTATAGGCTACTTACAAGCATTAGCACCACATAATCTAATAGCCTTCGATAGGCATCCGCGTAGACGTCGAAATTTCAGAACCATGGACAGCGATCGGTGGCTGACTCATTAGATTATTTTTTTTTTGGGGGGGGCCAAACTCTGATTTTGTGGAGAGTCCAGAGAAACTGTGCTACGCCGGTGGCATAGGCTATTTCTTGGTAATCTGTATTTCACAATGTCTTGCCTTGCAATACTTCATAAATTCACCAAAAGTATATTAAACTATAGATTAGGCTATCAGTGAGTATGGCTAAGCTATTCTACATTGTGCCAGTGAATTGAAGTTGAATAACGCCAAATGTGTCCGTTTAATTAGGCCTAAATGTGCAATAAAATATATTGTGCCTATAGATAATTGAATGAAACCCTGGCTGTTGATGTCCTAGGCAATAGATCGTAAAGCAGGGCATCCCCGATTCCCCACTGAGCTAATCTTTTTAGAAATTGCAAGTTCACTTTCTCATCCAAGTGTTGCACATACTGTTCAGCAGCTCAAATCAGCAGGATGGGGGGCATTTTTATTAGGAGGGACGTCTACCATGGATCCCTAAAATAATGATTATGATCACACTTCCTCAATTTAAATATTATCGGGACACCTATACATTTGGCAGCCAAGCACGAGTTATCAGTGTAGCCTATTATCGTCTAGCCATGACGTTGAAATATCTTCACGCCTAGAAATTTTTTTTCCACTCCAGGCTTCTGTCATAAAAGTGAATTGAATAATTTAAAAAAGAATTACAGGGGACCGTTTGGAAAAAAATGAATTCAGTGCGAATTGTCCTCGGGAATAACGCACATGCTTGGATAGTAATTACATAACCAATGTCTCTAGTAATACTAATCTCGTACGAATAGGGCTTTACAACACGGCAAAGAATAGGCTTATTGGTGTAGAGATTGCGCCACAACATCCCATGGGATCTGTCAAGGCTGCGCACAGCAGAAATATCACTAAAATATTATAGTTCCTACATATCACCTTCTATATTCAATAGGCTTTTTATAAGTTGCAAATGGGCAGCATCATGTTCATGCCAGTCCTCCCTAGAACGCAAAATTAGTCTTTCTAGTTCCTAGTAGGACTCTGCAATAATTTTACATTTTAGTCATTTAGCAGACGCTCTTATCCAGAGCGACATACAGTTAGTGAGTGCATACATTTTCACACTGGCCCCCCGTGGGAAAACGAACCCACAAACCTGGTGTTGCAAGCGCCATGCTCTACCAACTGAGCTACAGGGGACAATAATGAGGTGGTGTGTGCACAGCTGTTTGTGTGTTTTGGGAGTCGAACAAGAGTCTACTCCAAAAATCCTGGAGTCGTTCACCCCTATCGATATCTCTTTTGGAACTTCTGTCTCAATAAAGTGGCAGCATCCTATTTTCAAATCTTCTCAAAATGACATACTTTACAAACAAAAATGAATGCAATTAATACAATGCAATTCTAAAGAATAGAGTAATGACTTGCATTGCTAAATTATATTACTTTAGCTTTTTAATACAAATCATATTAACCAAATGTAGCCTATTAATAGCTGAATATAGAGAGAACACATGCCAACCTATAGGCCCTGCATGAGGGCAATGCATTTAAGAACTACACCATGTCTGTGCCAGTAGAAATTCTGTTTGGGCCAGTAGATTTTTGCCCAACTGAGCCAGTGAGAAAAAAAAGTTAACATTGGACCCTGCCTTGTTTCACATGCAGCCACGGAGTGGTGGCACATAGGCTATTTATTTGTTTGTATTTTTGATATAAAGTGCATCAGGACTTGCCAGACAGTGATTTTAAAGTGAGTGACTTGTCAGTAGCCTACCGAATTAGAGAGCTGTTCATGTGTCTCCCTAATTTGCATACTGGTAGGCTTTTTGGTGATTATTTGCAGATAAATTATGAACACATTAGATGAAGATGGTGAATCCTCCTCACTGCAGGAACAGTAGGTAGGCTAGTGGAGTGGTAGCCTCACTCTGGTCCAAAATATGGATTCACCATCTTCATCTAATGTGTTCATAATTTATCTGTAAATAATCACCAAAAAGCCTACCAGTATGAAAATTAGGGAGACACATGAACAGCTCTCTAAATTTCGTTTTTCTAATGAGCAACAGAAAAACACACTTGCCAATTTATGTTTTCAATGGCTCTTTAAAGACATGCTTTGAAACTTTGGCGACTATTAAGTATTTTGCTGTGACATAGTATGCAATTTTCGGGGACCACTTTTGGCTCGTGAGAGCTACTTTCAGAACTACTGGCTAAAAAGCATACAAAGTACAAAATAATCGCTTTAATGACCCTCCTCACTCTTGGTCCATTAGTGTCCACTAGTGTTAATTTTGGCAGCTATTTTCTATTTAGTTTTAGTCTTAGTGACTAAAATACATTTTAGTCTCAGTCACATTTTAGTCATTTCATCCCTTTTAGTTTTAGTTATTATCAGTCGACTAAAACTCTGGAAAAGTTTTAGTCAGTCATTTTAGTAATTTATTAGTCAGGTTTTTTTTCATAAAATAATTAATATTCACCTTCAACGTCCATCATGTGCACATTAAGATAGCCTTGTCCAATGAAGCCTACTATCCCCTCATATAGCTGGCCACATTGCTATTGTGGCAGGTTGTAAGCAATGCCAGCCATGATTTAGCCTACCATATAGGCTACAAAGCCTTGGCTACAGGTTCAACAATTTAGGCATACAGCTCTTTTCTCCCCATCATAACCTTGGGATGGGGGTAAATTAAAGTGATTCCCTTAAAAAGGATATAATCTGATCTTTCCAATAATGCTACAAATATTACTCTACTCCTAATATTCAGCAAATAGCATTAATATTTCCAATCGGGGAAAAAACAACTGCACTCACATTTGCGTACCGCGAGCATGGCAACACAGATAAATAACAGAGCACATGGGAAAATAGAGCTTCTGATGTGATCAAGGCAAAAATAGCCTACATGAAAGTTTTGGTTAGTTACAATTGAAGTGTCCTGGCATCCGTTCAAAAGATTGTGACCGCCCTGGAGCTCTGTGCGAGAGCCAGGCAGATCAGCTCGATCAGACCGCGCAACTGAAATACGTTATTTCTGCCAATGAGAGGATTGCATTAAATATTCTGCAAAGGAATGCATGCTTATGATTGGACAAAACAGATTAATAGGAGCTTCATGTCAAATTGAATGTCCATTAGTCTCACGTGGAATTCTCGTCTTGTCACATTTTCGTCAACTAAAATGAAAACGTATTTGTTAGTTTTCTTTTTTTCATGGCATCTCATTTCGTTATTGTTATTAGTTTTCGTAAGGAAAAATAAGTTGTCGACAAATATTTGGTTAGTCTCAATAAAACTGTAACCCAGTCCTACTGTAGGCCGAGCTGGACAGCCCAATGTCCTAAGACTCCGATTGTAGCCGGTCCATGGTCGGCTATGTGGAACTTTTGAACATACAGTGCCTTCAGAAATTAATCACACCCCTTGACTTTTACGCATTTTTTTGTGTTACAAGGTGGGATTAAAATTGATTTAATTGTCATTTTTTGGTCAACGATCTACACCAAATACTCTGTAATGTCAAAGTGGAAGAAAAATTCTTAAAAAACTAATATATCTTTATTACATAAGTATTCAACCCCCTGAGTCGATACATGTTAGAATCACCTTTGACAGCTATTACAGCTGTGAGTCTTTCTGGGTAAGTCTCTAAGGGTTTTGCACACCTGGATTGTACAATATTTGCACAATCTTTTTTTAATTCTTCAAGATCTGTCAAGTTGATTTTTGATCATTGCTAGACAGCCATTTTCAAGTCTTGCCATAGATTTTTAAGCCGATTTAATTCAAAACTATAACTAGGCCACTCAGGAACATTCAATGTCATCTTGGTAAACAACTCCAGTGTGTATTTGGCCTTGTGTTTTAGGTTATTGTCCTGCTGAAGGTGAATTCATCTCCCAATGTCTGGTGGAAACCAGACTGAATCAGGTTTATCTCCAGGATTTTTTTTATCCAGAAAAACTCCCCAGTTCTTAACGATTACAAGCATACCCATAACATGACGCAGCCACCACTATACTTGAAAATATAGAGAGTGGTACTCAATAATGTGTTGTGTTGGATTTACCCCAAACATAACACTTTGTATTTAGGATATAAAGTTAATTTCATTACCAAATTTTTTGCAGATTTACTTAAGTGCCTTATTGCAAACAGGATGCATGTTTTGGAATATTTGTATTCTGTACAGGTTTCCTTATTTTCACTCTGTCAATTAGGTTAGTATTGTGGACTAACTACAATGTTGTTGATCCATCCTCAGTTTTCTCCTATCACAGCCATTAAACTATTTAACTGTTTTAAAATCACCATTGGCCTAATGGTGAAATCCCTGAGTGGTTTCCTTCCTCTCCGGCAACTGAGTTAGGAAGGACGCCTGTATCCTTCTAATGACTTGGTGTATTGATACACTATCCAAAGTGTAACTAATAACTTCACCATGCTCAAAGGGATATTCAATGTCTGCTTTTTTTATTTTTACAAATTTACCAACAACAGGTGCGCTTCTTTGCGATGTATTGGAAAACATCCCTGGTCTTTTTTGGTAGAATCTGTGTTTGAAAGTCACTGCTCGACTGAGGGACCTTACCAATAATTGTATCTGCGGGCTACAGAGATGAGGTAGTCATTCAAAAATCATACACTACTTTTGCAAAGTGAGTCCATGCAACTTATTATGTGACTTGTTAAGCGCATTTTTACTCCTAAACTTATTTAGGCTTGCCATAACAAAGGGGTTGAATACTTATTGACTCAAGACATTTCAGCTTTTCATTTTTAATTAATTTGTAAACAATTATAAAACAATTCAACTTTTACATTATGGGGTATTGTGTGTTGGCTGGTGACACAAAATCTCAATTTATTAAATTTAGCGTCTGCTAAATGATGTAAATGTAAAATGTAGGCTGTAACACAACAAAATGTGGAAAAAGTAAACGGGTGTGAATACTTTCTGAAGGCACTGTACATGATCCACTCAAATATGGTGTTGGGTTTGTCCGTTGGAGGGTGGCGTTGTCATGCTCTTTGACAGAACGGGCCCTTTCACACACACACATACACATCCAGGCGAGAGAGAGGGGAGCTAGTGGCCTTCATCAGCCAGTGAATTAATTCAGCTCCCGCTGCAGTCGCCGAGAGCTCTTCTATCACATCTGTGTCACTCCTGAGCCCTCGTCAGGAAATGGAAATAGAAAGGAGAATGAGAGACTGGGCCAAAGAGAGTAGGGAGGAGGAGAGATTAGGTGGAGGGGAAGGGAGTTTTCACCCAGTCACTGCAACCCTTACAAGGCCAGAGAGGTGACAGACAGCGAGCTCTGAATAGCTAGCTACCTGCGAAGTGAAGGAGCATGCAGGAGACTGACACATTTTATTCACATCAGCTTTTGACTTCTTTCAAAAGTTAATATTGAGTGTATTGTGCAATCTTCATATATTAATTTACCCAAGGTTAAGTCAGGTGCAGTTAGCGAGGTTAGCTAACTTAGTTTGCCACGTTACCTAACTAAGTATTTATGTACTTTAGCTAACTAAGCTCCTTAAGCGACATTACTTTGCTACTTTGTCTACTTAGTTACTAAGGTTAGTTGGGAAAATGAAGCTTAATAAAACGTACGTCTTCTGTCTGTCTGTAGGGGAACTCCAACAGCATAGCCACGGTGGACATCTCGGTGGGCTTCGTGGGACTGGAGAGCTACGTAGAAGCCCCGGCTGTCTTCCTCACTGTCCTCAGCACGTACGCCGGGCCGCTGCTCTGGGCTGCCCACCTCGTCTGCTACCTCAGCTCAGAGAAAAGGTCAGATACTGTACACCAGCGAGTGTCATTAGTGATGATTCATTCATTCAGAAGTTAATTCATTCCGACCTACACTGATTCACAACAGCCCGGGAACCAGCTAACCATGTGTTTATCTTGGTAATCTTGTGTTTGTCTTACTGTAGCAGACTGTTGATAAAGTAGAAGATTTGGCAAGATTTTTCAAATGACTTATTATTCCAGTATAACGTGGAAAGCCTTGAAATTGATGATTTAGGATGTCCATATACTCACAACATTGATTATCCCAAAAACAAGAGGCTGGCGAAACAGTCCAGTTATGGAATTTTAATTAATTCATGGAAATTGAATTGAGCACGACCATACCGGACAGAGGACACTATATATTCCTCCCGTCTAGCATGAAACTGCAGTGTGTAAATATTGGGACATGATCATAATGTGATGATGACGATGTCTTGGCCACGTGCCAATTTATTATGGAATCAAAACAGCAGCGCAGCTAGCTACCCCTGGATGTTATTTGTCAAAGATGAAAGAGATTGTTTGGAACATTTTGTACAACGTTTTAATGCTTGCACCTCTAATTGATTGTCTCATTAATTCATACGATTCCGGCAAAAGGTTAGTCACCTAGATCACAATTCAAAGAGCATACAGTATGAAAAATGTATGCACTCACTAACTGTAAGTCGCTCTGGATAAGAGCGTCTGCTAAATGACTAAAATGTAAAAATGTAAATAACTTAAAATTAAAATATTATTAATAAATGAGCAAAGTGTGCTACCCCGCATCTTGAATGTATAGACAATACACTATGCATCACAGATTGTGTGTTAAAGAGCACTGTAAGCTAAGTTATGGAATGGAAAAAAGGGATGGGATGCAGATGAAATCAAAGAGCTGTTTGTGGGTGGAAGTTGTTTTTCATCATTAAGCTCCTCTAAGCCTCTTTGTTACTGGCATCTAATTCCAATTAGGGTGAGTGATAACTAGCTCCATACTGCAATCAAAGTAGAGCGTAAAGCCCAGTCCAACATGGGGGCCTCCTTCTCTCAACACACATCAGCGTTTCAATAATTGATGAAAACGATGGCTGCAAGAGGTGTGAATTCTTTCTTAAGGCACTGTATGTCCGTGTAAAATCTGTGCAGACTGCACCCAATTGGAAAATAGATTGTGCAAACACATTGCCAGGGCTGTGTTTCTGAGTGTCAAAAGGGGCCAATTCTCGAAAGATCAGTAAATTCAACTTCTTTAGCTCCAGAGATCTAGAGGTGGTATCCCTTAACGCACATGCTGTATCCCACACTCCTTTACAGGCAGTCATCCCTCTTTAATCCTGCTCCCTGGAGGATAGGGTCAGGATAGAGGGAGTGCACCAGATGAATACTAAAGCCAGCCCAAGAGGAGGACAGGAAGTACAGGGAGAGGGTGTGGGACAGGCGTGAAAGCGCATTACTAATGCCTGATCTTGTTTCCAAAGAGGGGATGCCCTTCAATTACTACCTCTTCAGGTAGCTAGAGACCTTTGCCTAGGACATGACATTAACACTAGAACTGCCATAGGCCAACAGCCACTGACTTTGAGGAAAAAAATCTGAATCCCTTGATTAATTACATATCTGATTCATCCGACCCCATGTATGAGTAATGTGGTCTGTTCTGCATCCCAACAACATTTTATGATTAATTTTTTCTGGTTTTCTATACCAGCTGTGTACTGTATGTCTTGGCGGACAGAAGACACAGCTGAGGACACACATTCCCAATGCAGTCAACGCTATAGAACATAGTAAAAATAAAGAAAAACTCTTGAACAAGTACAGTGGGGAGAACAAGTATTTGATACACTGACGATTTTGCAGGTTTTCCTACTTACAAAGCATGTAGAGGTCTGTAATTTTTATCATAGGTACACTTCAACTGTGAGAGACGGAATCTAAAACAAAAATCCAGAAAATCACATTGTATGATTTTTAAGTAATTAATTTGCATTTTATTGCATGACATAAGTATTTGATCACCTACCAACCAGTAAGAATTCCGGCTCTCACAGACCTGTTAGTTTTTCTTTAAGAAGCCCTCCTGTTCTCCACTCATTACCTGTATTAACTGCACCTGTTTGAACTCGTTACCTGTATAAAAGACACCTGTCCACACACTCAATCAAACAGACTCCAACCTCTCCACAATGGCCAAGACCAGAGAGCTGTGTAAGGACATCAGGGATACAGTTGTAGACCTGCACAAGGCTGGGATGGGCTACAGGACAACAGGCAAGCAGCTTGGTGAGAAGGCAACAACTGTTGGCGCAATTATTAGAAAATGGAAGAAGTTCAAGATGACGGTCAATCACTCTCTGTCTGGGGCTCCATGCAAGATCTCACCTCGTGGGGCATAAATGATCATGAGGAAGGTGAGGGATCAGCCCAGAACTACAAGGCAGGACCTGGTCAATGACCTGAAGAGAGCTGGGACCACAGTCTCAAAGAAAACCATTAGTAACACACTACGCCGTCATGGATTAAAATCCTGCAGCGCACGCAAGGTCCCCCTGCTCAAGCCAGCGCATGTCCAGGCCAATGACCATCTGGATGATCCAGAGGAGGAATGGGAGAAGGTCATGTGGTCTGATGAGACAAAAATATAGCTTTTTGGTCTAAACTCCACTCGCCGTGTTTGGAGGAAGAAGAAGGATGAGTACAACCCCAAGAACACCATCCCAACCGTGAAGCATGGAGGTGGAAACATCATTCTTTGGGGATGCTTTTCTGCAAAGGGGACAGGACGACTGCACCGTATTGAGGGGAGGATGGATGGGGCCATGTATCGTGAGATCTTGGCCGACAACGTCCTTCCCTCAGTAAGAGCATTGAAGATGGGTCGTGGCTGGGTCTTCCAGCATGACAACGACCCGAAACACACAGCCAGGGCAACTAAGGAGTGGCTCCGTAAGAAGCATCTCAAGGTCCTGGAGTGGCCTAGCCAGTCTTCAGACCTGAACCCAATAGAAAATCTTTGGAGGGAGCTGATAGTCCGTATTGCCCAGCGACAGCCCCGAAACCTGAAGGATCTGGAGAAGTTCTGTATGGTGGAGTGGGCCAAAATCCCTGCTGCAGTGTGTGCATACCTGGTCAAGACCTACAGGAAATGTATGATCTCTGTAATTGCAAACAAAGGTTTCTGTACCAAATATTAAGTTCTGCTTTTCTGATGTATCAAATACTTATGTCATGCAATAAAATGCAAATTAATTACTTAAAAATCATACAATGTGATTTTCTGGATTTTAGATTCCGTCTCTCACAGTTTAAGTGTACCTATGATAAAAATTACAGACCTCTACATGCTTTGTAAGTAGGAAAACCTGCAAAATCGGCAGTGTATCAAATACTTGTTCTCCCCACTGTATATATACACTACCGGTCAAAAGTTTTAGAACACCTACTCATTGAAGGGTTTTTCTTTATTTTTACTATTTTTGACATTGTAGAATAATAGTGAAGACATCAAAACTATGAAATAACACATATGGAATCATGTAGTAACCAAAAAAGTGTGAAACAAATCAAAATATATGTTATATTTTAGATTCTTCAAAGTAGCCACCCTTTGCCTTGATGACAGCTTTGCACACTCTTGGCATTCTCTCAACCAGCTTCATGAGGAAGGCTTTTCTAACAGTCTTGAAGGAGTTCCCACATATGCTGACTGCTTTTCCTTCACTCTGCGGTCCAACTCATCCCAAACCATCTCAATTGGGTTGAGGTCGGGTGATTGTGGAGGCCAGGTCGTCTGATGCGGCACTCCATCGCTCTCCTTGGTCAAATAGCCCTTAAAAAGCCTGGAGGTGTGTTTTTGGTCATTGTCCTGTTGAAAAACAAATGATAGTCCCACTAAGCGCAAACCAGATGGGATGGCGTATCGCTGCAGAATGCTGTGGTAGCTATGCTGGTTAAGTGTGCCTTGAATTCTAAATAAATCACTGACAGTGTCACCAGCAAAGCACCCCGACACCATAACACATCCTCCTCCATGATTCACGGTGGGAACCACACATGCGGAGATCATCTGTTCACCTACTCAGCGTCTCATAAAGACACGGCGGTTGGAACCAAAAATCTCTAATTTGGACTCATCAGACCAAAGGACAGATTTCCACCGGTCCAATGTCCGTTGCTCGTTTTTCTTGGCCCAAGCAAGTCTCTTCTTCTTATTTGTGTCCTTTTAGTAGTGGAGGTAACTCTGGGTCTTCCTTTCCTGTGGCGGTCCTCATGAGAGCCAGTTTCATCATAGCGCTTAATGTTTTTTTCGACTGACCTTCATGTCTGAAAGTAATGAAGGAATGTCGTTTCTCTTTGCTTATTTGAGCTGTTCTTGCCATAATATGGACTTGGTCTTTTACCAAATAGGGCTATCTTCTGTATAACACCCCTACTTTGTCACAACACCACTGATTGGCTCAAACGCATTAAGAAGGAAAGAAATTACACAAATGAACTTTTAACAAGGCACACCTGTTAATTGAAATGCATTCCAGGTGACTACCTCATGAAGCTGGTTCAGAGAATGCCAAGAGTGTGCAAAGCTGTCATCAAGGCAAAGGGTGGCTACCAAAACTATTATTTTGATTTGTTTAACACTTTTGGTTACTACACAATTCCATATGTGTTATGTAATAGTTTTGATGTTTTCACTATTATTCTCCAATGTAGAAAATAGTAAAAAATAAATAAAAATCTTTGAATGAGTAGGTGTGTCCAAACTTTTGACTGGTACTGTATATACAACACAACATTGCTGTTAGTGTTAGAGACCACATATTACTTAAATCCCGCAGGGACTGATTCTTGGTCCACTTTTCCTTATACATGGCTGTACTGGTATTACCGGTGTTCCATGGGGATCGATTGTTGCTCCACTTCTTTCCTAATACATGGCTCCCACTAAGCAAAATAATTTCTGAACATTGTGCCGACTTCCACGCCTATGCAGATGACACACAGTTTAAA